TGATGAGTATTAATATGACATGGCAAGATTGATACAGAATATTCTATGATTATTTTTCTGTCTTTGATAGGCCACTATCGGGCAGTGAGATTTACAGATAGCATGTGACTTGTCCAAAAGCAGGGTCAGAATGTTATAGCATTCTTCTCATCCAAAGATCTTCCAGGTGCTTCCTCAGGATTTGAATCTGACTTGTTCAGTTTTTCTGCTCCCCTACCTCACACTTGAAATTTCTAGTAACATTCCTGCCTTCATTTGTATATTTAGCTGGCAGATTTTTATTTGTTTGTTGTAGCCTTTTTCACAGTGCAGATGTCTGCAACTTGGATGACTTCTTATCCTGAGTTTTTTGAATCTATAACTTTTTTTTAGATGGGCTCATCAAGTAACATCATTGTTTAGAAACATTGCTGTGAACATTTGGTGGACACCATTCAGCAGATTTAACTCAACAGACTGTGAAGGTAAAAACAGATGTGCTGTAAACTGTAGTGATGGATACTTTGCCCAAAAAATCAAGTGTTTTCATGATTGTGTTACTTTTGGAATAGAATTGAAATGATGCCAACAAATTAAAATCTCAAAGTAACTTGTGAGCCAAAGAAAACAAAAGAGAAAAAGAATTGAAGGTAGCCATGAGCAGTTTACAAATAGCCCTAACATAGGATAGCTATGCCTGTGTTTTTCTTTTGACTCCAAATGATGGGTTCACACATTTATACCATGTTATAATTTATATACTTCACAACTATGAAGTATGTAAATCCTCTCTGTTCTTTCCTTCACCAACAGTAAATTCAGAAAATGGAGATTCATCAAAAGCAAAGTTGAGTAACTTTAAGTTCACAACAGGAGAGCAGCTAAGGTGTGTAAAAACTGTTTCCCAAGGAGAGGGAAAACTCCTTGGAAAAGAGAACCAATCTCCTCTGTGGTAGATACCCCCATGAAATGATTCCTCTCAAATTGACCTGACAGACTAAACAGCATTTCCTGTCACTATTCCTTTTAAACTAGTTCTATTTAGCCCTTAGCATCCTAAGAAATAACAAAATACGCAATAGTCTCCCCTGAGTGAGATAACCAGCATTTCCATCCATTTCCATTGTCTCTTTACTTAGATGTAGTTAGTATATTGGGTTAATTGTCTTACAAATAGATTCCCTGTTCAGTAATAGCAAGATCACAGATGAGTAAAAAAAAAAATGGCATACTAAGGGCAGCTGAGGGTGTCACTGATTTTCTTGTCACATTTTGCTATCCTTTGTGATCTATTATTACGGAACAGACTCATGGCAATGTAAAATCTATTTGTTTTATATGATGAAAAAACAAATTGTCATCAGTCGTGAGGTTATCAATGCATCTGTCCTCCAATATAAATAAGAACCAATCAAAATGAGCACTTAACCCTTTAATTCCCATGAGTGACCAAGATAGAATTTCTCCTTACAATGTCAGTACAATATCAAGCAGACAAGTGATGCGAATAAAGAAAAATATCAGTTAGAGGATCATAAGTTGATTCAATACCAAATTCTCTAAACTAACATCACAAGAACTGTATGTCAGACAGTAGGGAGAATTACTAATGAGATCTTGGCAGTTAAAGGGTTAATTCAGCCTAACATATATATTGTACTAGTAGATCTCTAAGATAATTAGTAATAGAATGAGTATCACTATCTGTCGTTTTGAAAAGGGAAAAAAAAGAATGGAAAAGAAAAGGGAAAATGGGTTAAAAGAAATTTGAATTTGAATTGTGAAGTTGACAAATTTGGGCTGAATGTAACCCAAGTTAGCATTACCTTAGGTTAGTCTACTGCTTACTGCATTGCAGATTTATGCTTCTTAAAGTGATAAAAGAACACAATGGAATGATGACATATAATGTTATCAATCCTTTGATTGTGGTAAGTACATACTGTTTTCGTTTGGCTTTGCTTTTTTCGGTTCAGTGAATGGCCTTAACCAACCGCACACCCTCTCAACCAATCAGATCATATTACATTACTAAAACAGGTTACGACTTGATCACTGGCGTTTTCATAATTTTTTTCTTTGACTTCCTACTGTCCCTTTGTTTTTAGTTCTGTTTCTTTCGACTAGCCTTTGCAGTGGCTCGCAAACTTTGTCTCTTTGTTAAGCTTAGTTTACTATGCCGTGTTTTAACGACCGTTTTTATCATGCAGTGCCTAACTGAGCATATAAAGACTTATTTTTGTATTTGACTGTCTTTATCTTTTGATATTCCTCTAGGGAGAGCACACCGGAGAAAGACTCATAACAAAAACGGTAAATCATAATAATAGCTTCCAAAAGCTCAGCAATTTTTTTACCATACCTTTTGATGTCTGCCAAAAGATTATTCTGTATTTAGCATTTGAGTAATGAGGCTTTCAGACAAACACTTCTTGACCTTTTTTTATACACGTTTGCGAACTATTACAGAAATCTGAATCGCTCTATTAACCTCCAATTTCCCCTATTGTATCATGCAGCGGTTTTCGCTACTTGATACAGACCAGGATGGTTACCTAACAGAAGATAACGTCATGTCCGTACCTGCCGACGTGGTAGATGAGGCTTTCGGGAAAACGTTGCCTGGAGAGGTAAGGGACAGGGAATGAGATTTTATTTATCTTTGATCAGCAACTATTTGCGACTGTGTCATTTAAAAGCGTAGGAATCACATTCCGTTCTCGCTACAAGCGTGGAAACTCTATCTCTTTGGATCTTTTTCACGAAATTCAGGACTCTTTGAAACAGCAAAACCAGATATTTATCTTGCTAATCCGATAGGGTTTTTTCAGCAAACTGTATTAGAGACTTAAGGGGATAAGTTTATAAGGAAAGTGTGGTGATGCGTTGGTGGGGGAATAAAACGAGTTGATAATGTAAATTGACCTCCGTAAAGAGTTTCTGAAGATGATATTTTGAGCGTTAGCCTTTTGGCGAAGCGAATCTACATTATCAGCTCAGTTGATAAAACCACATTATCTTGTGTTTGAGAATGCATGATGAGTAATTTTTTAAATAGTACATGTATTTTGATTACTTTTCAATCAATTGTCCATTGTAATGTGATTTCTTTGGTGTTGTTTTTGTACTCTTTATTATTGGTGTAGAAAACTCATGCAATCTCCCTACATGCCCCAGCCAACAATGAAAGTCTGAAAAGAAAAAAAAATAAGGACTTGACCACTTGCATTTTCCCGCACTTGAACCAGCTACTTTAGTTTTCTCTGAGTTCTCATTGGCTTGTTTCGCAAATTTGTCTTTGCTCTGATTTGCCCTTGTCATTACTTCTCAGGTAAATATCCGTGGCGAATCTCGGCGACGTGACGATAGAGTTAGTACACTATTACAATCTGTGGAGAAGCAGCCTCCTTTGGTCGAGGAGTTCCTCTTGAGAGACGATAAAACCTTGGAAGATTTTAACAAATTTCTTGGACAACATTCGGAACAACTGGACAAGTCTGTGAGAGATTTTATACAGGAAAGACTTGATGATGTTTTAAAAAGTCAACAGACCGAATCACAGGGCAAACATAATGAATTATAGGCTAAAGAACATTGGAGTCTTTCTGTATTTTTCTCAGTTTTTTCGTCTGGCTGAATCATTGCACATAGTAGCTCTGTAAATTGAGGGATTTAGCAATTGATGTGGCGAGGTTTCGGTAAACGCACGCGGAAGTTAGAACGATACTTGTTTTTCTAATTGGAATTACTTTGGAAGGGAAACTTACTTGTTGTCTAGACTATTCTGTGCGCTTTTACCTCGTCATTTTACGCGCGTCTTTTCTTGCCGTTCTGCACAGGAGTTTTCGAATTAAATGTCTACATAGATTTGGTTTTTCTTTAGTATGCTCACAGATTGCTATAGAAACTTGCGCTATAGATGGTAGAGAAACCTTCTGGAAAGGTTTCTCAACCAATTATAGGTAAAAAACTAAAATAGCCACGACTTGGCAGCTTCTGTTTTCCCCCGCTTCAGCCTGGTTTCTTGTTTTCTTTTTGACCTCTCATTGGCTCCTTGTAATATTTTCCTTTGCTCTAATTGGCTGATGACTTTGTTTTTGTTTTACGACAGCCATCGAAGTGAGCTCTTCTAATTCTTTTCCCACCAGTCGCTTAAGCCCTATTTCCTTTTATGAAATTCTTCCATACAAGAACGAAACATAAACTGTTCGAGATCATTATTTAATATTTTTTTATTTAAGGGTAATGGATAAGTTTATACATCATTATAATCTTTTTTTTGTTTGTTTCTAGTAATTCCATATGATTCTACTACGTATCACAAATTCGTCGTTTCTGTCCCTATAATCTCTTTTGACTTAAATAAAATAAATACCTTTATTTTCATTTTAAACAAATATTTACAATGTTAGCTTTAACCTTGTTACAGTCATTAGAATATATTTATATGGAATTTCACTGCGTGAAATTTTGAAGTTTGACTATATATTTACTATTTAATTACAGTAATTGCAGTAAGTAAAACAGAGATTCGAGGCAGAACTGTGGAACTTGTGTGTATGTCAATGTACTGCTCCGACAAACCGGGTACTTATAGGGCTTTTTGCCGTTTCGTTTTTGCGACTGAACTAATAATTCTCGGTTAACCTGTGCTGCTCAAAATATATTTTGAGATCCTGTTTTAGGACGGTCTGCAGTGTAAGGTCCAAGCTTAAGCATTCTACCTTCGTCTTATGAAGAACAGAAAGCCTCACTACTTTACATTTCTTGGTAAATTCCACTATCGTGTTGCAACAATTTTATTAAGCGCGATCTCGTGATGCACGTAAAGGCGTTTTAGCTCTGTCTGGTACGCGATAGAAAGCGTCAATATGAAAGTAAGTTTTTCGTCTATATGCGCTGTCAATGGCATATACCGTAAAAAATAATTGGGGTAACTCTCCACTAGGTGAAAATGAATACAAGTTGTTGTAGAAGCAAGGGGCAAAGTAACACATCGCACATGATGGTGGCATCTCACACTAAGGAGAAGTCAATGTACTCCAATGTTCCGTGAATTTCGGATGATTGTCGATCGGCGCATCAAATGGAGGATGGGCTTCGTGAGGATCCGGCGGGGATCCCTGTCTGTTTCACAAATGTGTTCTTACATATAAACATCCACAACACAGATATCTATACCCAAGTCTCTCTCGAGGGGTTTTCCCATTTTTGACCGATGTCCTTAACGAACAACTCGATCATATTGTTGTAAGAGTCTGTCATCGTTTGTTTTCTTGGTAAATTATTACCGTTCATCTCCTTCGTATCCTTATTAATAATCTTGTTGACAGCTTCGTCGCTTATTCTTGTGATCGTATTGTTCCACGTAGCCATGTTTGAGCTGGTTCGCCGACTTCGCACCCCATCCTCTTCTAGCGTGTCCCGTTTTTTGCGACAAATGAGTAACATTCGCTTGAACTCGTTCCGCATACTCTTATCAAATGCTGAGTATATCGCGGGGTTAGCCGCACTGTTCGCAGTGGCAAGCATTAAACCCAGATGAACTAACCACGTGGGTGGAAGGGCGCGGAAAAACAGTTTGAAAATGGTAGCGATGGTGTAGGGTAGCCAACAAAACACAAACATACCCACGACTACTAACACTGTCCGTAATATAGCATTTTGTTGCTTTCGTCGCTTTTTTTCTTCATCGGCTAAGGTCTGTGATCTATTTCTGATGAAACGATTGCTCACTTTCGACCTATAATATATCATTATATACACAACTATCATCGACAACACAGGAATAGCGAAGGGAAATACTGCTAATCCCATGGAGTACGTACCATTTTTGAGTCCTTTCGCTGACCAGTTAGGCTTGCAGGAGTTGGTAATTTCGTCATTGATTATCTCTCCCCAGCCCACCAAGGGCGCCGCGGCCCAGAATATGGAATGTAGCCAGGTGAAGAGAATGAGCCATAATGCCCATTTCTGCGTGAAGGTTTCTTTTGCTCTATACTGGAAAGGCTTTGAAACGGCGTTTAAGCGGTCTAAGCTGATTAGAAACAAAGTCATGACGGAGACGTTGAGAGACAGTGAAATCACAGTGGAGTAAGCGTAACACAAGGCGTTTCCCATCTTCCACTGCTGGCGGCATGCTGCTGCTAGTAGAAGGGGAGCGCAAAAAATCCCTGGAAAGAGATATGGAAACTGTTTAGATTGTGCCGAAAAGGAAAAGCACCCTTTTGTTTCGTTCATAAAAATATTAATCTAGTACCCATATCCCATTTCCCATTAGAAAATGCGTACGCGTACTAGATTAGGGCCGGTTCATTCAGGGAGCTTACAAAGCATTTCTGCTATCATTAGGAGCCTTTATCTCTGAACTATATCGCAACTCTACTGACGGAGATACCGTGTAGCATTACTCAATGACAAAAAAATTTTCGAATCACGATCCAATAATGGTATTAGCCATTTATATAGAAACGCGCCACTTTGGAAGTGCATATCATTTGTGGTGTGTGTGTGTTTGTGTGTGTATGAGTGTTTGGGTATTGATTGACCATCTGACATCAACGATAAATCAGATGACGTCCATCTGACAACAACGATAAATCAGATGACGTTCACTTTCGGTGTGTTGCCCACGCAGGTGTCGGTAGTGGGGACGTAAAAGAGGTGGAACCGCAATTCCCTCGCACGCTGACTTCTTTTCGCGGTCATTACGCCTTCACACCGACACAAGCAGTCATGTTTGACTCCGATTCGGCGCTTCCTTCTACCAGCTACTCGATCTTAAGGCTGGTTGCACCAACGAGAGTGTCTTAGTCAGAGTCGTGATTAGAAGTGCAATGTAGAAGGATACGATTCAGTGAAAATCAAACCCAAGGATTTAGAAGGAGAAAACCGACGTCACTTTTGAATCTATTGCAAGGTTAAGTGTATGCTTGGCTTGGCTTGTGATTGCTAGATTCTACTGCTTCCGCTTGCCACTCCAACAATAGTCTTAAATGAGGAGCCGCAGTACCGGAGGAAATGAAGATGGCTTAATTTTTCCGACTCTGTTATGAATGTAGTATATCTATGGTGACTGCTTTCGATTTCGATCTTCCGTTTGCGCCTTGTCGTGAGCCCTTTCGCGACTCCGACTTCAACTCCGACTCTAACTCCGACTCTATCGCTGGCGAAAATGTGCGCAAAGTGCACGGAAACAACGCGCAAGGGAAATCCTGTGTTTTAAAATGGCGTAAACGTGATCTGCTGACGTCACTTATGAAACTAATCCGATATCATACCAGACAGTAAGCGCGAGTCTTAAAATGAAACAAGCACAAAAGAAATGTTTGTAGTAAAGTGCAACAATTTTTCAAAACTATTCTTCAGAATGATGGCAGATATTTTCAATTGAAGTTATTTTTGTTCAAGGTTGGCTTTCAAGGGACGATTTGTGATAAGGTGAGGACGAAGATAGATCAGAATTGTGCAAAATGTGAACGTGAAAGCCCTCGGGGCGAGAACGTGAGCTCGGAAATCCTGAAACCTTTACACACCATTTTAGGCCGTCTAAAGGTCACCGGGTAATTTTTTTATGGCCGATTCTTTAGCTAAAACGTTCTAGAGTTTTAATTAATTATTCTCCTTGAGAAAGTCGAGAGGAAGCTGCTTTAGTTTTAAAAAAGCGAAAATACAGGTTTTGTTTGTAAAGATTTTGAAAAAAAATGTTAATTTCCTTTTGTTTACATAAAAAAAGAAAAGACGTATGATTATATCGATAGACAGGGTACAGGTCACGAAACTCTATTCAGTCAGATAATCTAAAATAAGAAAGGATCTGACATCTAAACACTACTGTTTGTATTCAACCTTTTGAATTTCGTACAATTATTTACTTAGAGTGAAAGATAAAATTTACTAATGCCAATTATCAAAGGAAGTCAAGCGGCAGCGTGGTTTTCTAATCTGGAAAATGTCCTTCCTGCGAAACAGAACATCGGAAATATGACTAATGAATTTCATCACAATAAAAACTAACCATGTAGATCATTAATAAATTTAAATATTTTTATATTTCTTCCAAAAAGCTATGATAGTGAGTAATCTCCACAAATGAAAAATATTGATTTAATTAATGGAGGTAATTTTTAGAATCTAAATTTCAGAATGTAAGGAATTTTAGTATTTTTTCGTAATTGACTGATGTAGTTTGCGTGCCGTTTTCTTTGTAAATAATGCACTATCTTTACAGAATAGTTTAGTACAGCTGAATACGGGGTTGAAAAAAATTATGCTAGCATAAGAAATTTTGGTTTTGCGGCTTAATTGATTGAGCAGGTATATTATTCAAGTGTTTACTAGCTCTGCATGCAAATTATTTGCGCCGCTGTTGTAATTCGAAGAACAAATCATTAACTTCTCGATTAGACATGCGACGAAAAATTTTGCCATCATTAGTTAACCCTTTATGACCTACCCTTTATGTTTCACTCACCTACGATCAGATCTCCCAAGGCAAGGCTCCCATAAAACTTAAACATGGACGAATTTCGGCGCTTTTTAAACGCAATACACAGAAGCACCAAAGAATTCCCAACAACAGTCACTACCGTCAGCCACGTCCAAAATACGACTTGGAATGCTTGCCAACCTTTCGATGCCGGTTCGTTGGACCCGATTGTTTTAATTTGTTCCGTTACATCGTTCTCATGGGCTTCGAATTGAGCCATAGTTGACCCGAAAAGACAGATCACAAAAATGACAAATTTTCAACGAGACACAACACTTGATGATCGATGTGTAATGCGAGATTCGATTCACGTTCACCGAAGCGAAGATGGTTATTCACAGCCGGCGGAAATACCTTGAATAAAAGCGACGACTGTTTCGTGACGTCATCCGTGACACCTTTTGCTTTAATCGAAAGCGCGCGCGACGTTGTCAGAGGACAAGAGCGTAACTGAAAATTAAAATTCCATTGTGTACTTTTCCCCAGCCAAAATTGTTCTTTAAATTGAAATTTGTTCTCTTTCATTCAGATTATACCCTGGCTCAAAAGAAACAATGCATGTACTTTTATCCTAGTAACTGAACTTATGTATTTGAATTGAATCATTGCCTGATAACATTTCGCAATTTGTAGATAAGTTTTTCAGGAAGGATTAATCTTGATTATTGACGTTTGCTGGTTAGGAAAGCTGGAATATCTACTGTTATTGACCTCTTAATTGATTTATATTAGTTTTTATTGACTCTGTGACCTACCTAGACGTGCTCAATAAAGGGGTGCACGTGCCTTTTGGGTCGAATTTCAGGGTCACTTACTTTCACCACGTACAAGGTCGTGAAAATATGTGTTATTTATGACCCTTAATCATGACCCTCATTCCTATTTCAAATAAGACACTCTTAGATCAATATTTATGCTAAAAAACATACAACGCTCAGAACATAGTGTTGATTTTGCCATATGAAATAAAATTTTCCAGTGTTGTAAACTGATTTCACTAGAACAACAAACCCTCTCTCGCTTACACAATTATTTTGACTGAAGACCAGTTCGCTTTTACCTTTCGTCTCCATTGATTTCTTTCCTCGTGTAATATAAACCCATTTTTGTCTAGTGTTTAATGAAAAACACATTTAGGCGACACGCCTTCAAAAATGTCAATCTTAATAACACGTTCCCTTATTTCAGAACAACATTGGAAAAATCACGCTACTAGCTTCCATTTTCAAAGTAGTGATGTGAAGCCATTACTATTGTCAATCTTCATTAAGGTAGCTTTCCACCAACCATTTACTCTGTTTTGCTTTCAGACTGAATTTCCAGAGTGATTAACGTCTTCTGAGGAAATTTTGAATCGTCTTTGGTGGGTAGCAAAGGTGTACGCGTGACGCTTGACTAAGGCCAACATTGATATGTGACACGTGAATTTTACACAAAGGCGAGTGTGATTCGTGAATATTTATGAAACAACGTGAGGTGTGATTTGCCTCGTGAAGTAGACGTGACCCATCAATTTTTTCCTCTTTACTGAAAACCTTGAGATTTCCCTAAAACCTCGCACACAAGAAGAGATATTTAAAGTTTTTCCGGCCTTTTTAATTTGTAAAGCCTGAAATGCTGTTTAAAATGTACGTGATGCGTGAATCTAAAATTCGGGCGTAAATCTGGTCAGGACTTCGCCTTTGCCACCCTCTTGGTGGAGAAAAAATAAAGGCTCGTAGTCAACGATTACATAATAGTGTAATGTGTGCCCCAGTCACCGGCACTTATTCAAAAGTTTATCTTTTTCTCCGTAATTGGAAAATGACCAATCACTACATTACATGGTCATTTTAATGAATAAGCTTTACTATGACATGAAAGGAAAATTTCAGAAGTTATATAAGTGGAATGAGGACAAAGTTACCGTGATTTTGAATTTTCATTTAAAAGATTACACCTCTTTTTACAAATAACGGGCTTAGTTGCTGCTCTTTTCATATCCGTGAAAAATTAGCCCTCCTAGCCTCGTCGACATATGCAGAAAAGGTATAATTTTTATTTAAAAATGAGGTTAACATAACACGTTTATGTTTTTAAAAGAATACTACCGCCAGCTGAAGTGGGAAATTTGCTCATGGGAGGGTCGGGGATTGTAGGGGGACGGATGGCCGATCTTTAGAACCTGGGAACCAATCAAGAAAACATGGCGGATATTTAGCATGTCGTACGGTCTTACAAAGCTGACCTTCTCAGTCCCAGAAGTTGAAGACTATTTGAGAAGTTCGCAGTGTCTTTTAAAGGTAATTAAAGGCGTGTCAATCTTGCTCTAGATATGGTAATTTAATGAGAATCAAGAGAAGTAAGAAATTCTTTTTATGAAGGTAGTGGCCAGTTTTTAGACGATCCCGATAAATTGCTTCATTGGTGAAACAAAACGTTTTCAATAATCGGGGGTATGCTCGATATATTAGAAAGCTTTAATGCTAGGGCTATGCGCTTTGTTGTAGTATGGAGTCCTATTAATGGTTGCTCCTGGGAGCTCATCTGTGGTGCCTTTATCCTAATCTATCGATTTGTACACCCCACCTTTTTCACCCCAGGCCTGTTAATCGCATACCCATTCCCCTTAATTCAGTTTCTCACGGTTCCATTTCATTTTTTGAAATGTTACGAGGCAGAGTAACTGCAGACCCATGAAGTACATGGGGTTGTTGAACAGCCATGGCGAGCCAACTTTGCCATTTACTCATTAAACTTTTGACCCTCGAGATTGACTAGCATCAAATTTCTTCTAACAAACATTCTAACTGAATCAAACATTAAGATCGTGAAGAACAAAGGAAATGATCACTAACTGAAAAAGCTCTTGATTGTTAAACAAATTCTCCCTGCCAACCCCTTACGAAGTGTACCAAGAACAGTGTGAAGAGTATGCATACTGATGTTAGGTCTGTCAAGTTAAGGTTTTGCTGACTGTAGGTGATACCTAGCACCATGTAATTTTCTTAGACAGTGACCTATGACAAATCCTAAATAAAGCTCTGAAAGGCAAATTTTCTCTGTTAAGACAGGAACATGATGTGAGTGATAGCACTACTGGATTTGATAAGCTACTGAAGGCACTTGTTACTCCACCTTTGTACACTGTTGTGAGGGTTAATACTCTGAAGACAACAGTTCAAGATGCACAGCAGGAATTACAGAAGATTTTGGAGGAGGTATGTGAGAGCTAAGCTTATTTTGAGAAGCTAGCCCCTTGGTTATTTTCTCTATAAAATGTAAAAAAAAATATTTTTACAACAGTGAGGTAGGTAAAGCTTGGTGACATTTTGTTAAAGATCTTGTATATGGATGTAACAATGTTTCCCTGGTTATGTTTAATAGCCAACATAACAGTGATGGTGGGTAGGTTACAAGGGCTGGTCTCCCCCAAAGCTGAGATAGAACAGTGGTAAAAGCATCTAAATCCATGCCCAGGTTCAATTCCTATATCCTGATGTCACAAATGTGTTTGGTTTGTTTTTCATTCTTAACCTTGCTTTGAGTGCATTTTCCAGTTCTTTTGCTTCTTCACTTGACAAAAGACATTCCTTCAAATCCTAATTCAACTTGGAATCAGAGGATCTCCTTGGTGGAGGTGCCATTGCTTGATTCTTCACAAGTATTTATTGGTTACTTTCAGAGTTGGATTTGGTTTAAATAAAAATGGGCATCACTTTATTTAGGTTCACTAGGAGCTGAAACATAATAAGTGTAACGTAGCCATTTTACTTTCATATATCATTTGTAATTCTCCTTACTGTCTCTCATACAATTCTTATAATGTTAGTTTGTAGAAATTGGTATTGGATCATCTAATAATCCCCTACCTTTTTATCTTTATTTGCATGACTTGTCTGTGTGGTGTCAAATTCATATTATAAGGAGAAATTCTGTCTTGGTCACTTAGGGTGAGTTAGGGGCTTAATGTACATCTTACTCCTTGAATGAGATAAGGTAAAACATGCAAACAAAGGATCATTCAAACTGATAAAAGTAAGAACTGAAACTTTTCAAAGTAAATGTTTTACTATTAATAACAAATAAGTTGCATTTTGATTGAAGGAGGGCAAGAAAGCAAGACAACATAATTACAAAGTGATCCTGCATGAGCAATTGAATGATGTCTTGCTAATCCATGGATTTGGCCCGGACACCAATCTTGTACCAGTTGTAAAGGAGATTATTGTTGATTCCAACTGTGGGGCTGCAATACTTAGAGGGGCAGATATCTTTGCTCCTGGAGTCATGGCAGCTCACCCTGGTGAGTATGTATATGTAATTCCCCAAGACATCTTTTCAGTCAGTGCTCCAATAATCCTTTGACCCCAAAGAGTGACTAACATCTAGTTTCTCCTTACAGTATCACCACTGAATTAAAAATAAAGTTATGAGAATTAAGGATTAAATAATTTTTAAGTGAAGAAGCTTTTGATTGACAAACAAATTTTCTTTGAAAGTTTCTTTGTAACTGTATAGAAAACATAATGGAGAATCTGCATACTGATCTCAGTGTGTAAAGGGTCAAATGGGACTCAAAGTTAGGGATATTGAAAAAAATGCCCTGGGAAACCAGAAAAAATGCTGAGATTCTCGTGGTAGATAGTGCCTGATCTAAGAGGAGGAACCATTTTCCTTACTAGCTCTGGCAGCTCTTTTGGTCTGAAAATCTTAAAATTTATGTGCACCAAGATAAACCCCTTTCATATCGCCATGTTATTTTTATTCTCTCTTAAATGTTTCCTCAACCTGGTTTTAATGTGGCATTGCATGTACAGTAATATAGCAGAAACAGAGACATATGCAGTTAGAATGGATAGCATTATGATGTGGGAATGTGATAAATTACTTTTATTTAACATTCACTTATAGGCATGGAAAGTGGAGACACAGTCTCAGTTTACGCCGATCTGGAAGGGAAATGCCGTAAAGGTCTTACCAAACATTACAATGGTAAGAGGGTGTTTTTGGGAAATGGAATAGCTGTCCTTGCCAGAAAAGATCTATTCTGCTCACAAGAACATGTGAGGTAATTGTTTTGGCTGTAGTTAGAGGTCTTTTTAATTCTCATTATGACAAACTTGACTTTTTTTGTGAATTCTTTGCTAACTGTTAATCCAGAGAGCATGTTAAAACATGTAACAATTCAGATTACCTTGATTTTCTTGCATGATTTGTTGTAGTGTTTCTCATGGAAGACTGAGGTAGATGCCTTATCTGCTATGTGAACTCATTTGCAGAAGGGTTAGGGCAATGATGCCTCATTACTGTTGGATTTTTTAGGCATGGATAAGCCTTAGAGGTTGT